GCACAACAGGGAATACACTGTGCAAAGTAGCATCTGCATTTATTTCAATGTCAAATCACCTGTGTGTTATAAAAAATGAAAGCTTATTGTTTTTGTTAAAAACAATGTCACCACGGCACTGCAGCGCTTACAATTAACTCTTGCTTTCCTTCAAGCTCTCAGATTCATGTGTCCCCTATGGGAAGCAGGTGGAAATAAACCTGATGGTTTTTAAACACTGTGATTTCAGTGCCAGTTTTAAGACTGATTTCATACACTGCAGAGTACATTATGGTTTAATGAAACTGCATCACTGATGTAATGGGATGATGAGCTGCTTGTGCGTAAAATGCAAGTCCCTCAGAGTTTGGTCGAGTCCTCAAACCTCTGCCTACGACGGAGCCCCTCCAGCATGGCTCCGTCAGTCGCTAGCAGAATCCTAAAGTGGTCTCTTACGGAATCTCTTCCAGCATAAAAGCTCCTTAACGGAAACACGTCTTCTGGACTCTCGGCGTGACAGTTTCCGGCGAGGAGTGGGTGGTCTATAGGAGGTCTTGAAACCTCCCCACTGTTTTCGCTGGAAGTGTCTCTGAGCCATCCCTCCGACTCACTTTCCCCTGGAGCCCCTCCTCTCCCCCTGCTGGTTCCCTCTTCAGCTGCTAAGTCTGTCTCAACCTCAGGGAGCCCTTCCACCTCCTGTCCTTCTGATGGCAGTTCCCTGACAACTGACAATGGCCAGCCTCCCCAACCTGGCACCCCTCTGGAGGTTGTGGCAGTAGCAGTCGGCAGAGCTAACCATCACCAACGTCAATGTGGCTTATTGAGAGGGAGAGGGGTAAAACTGCAGCAAAGTTGCCACAGTGCAAATACACCCATGTTGTTGTTTAGTCGTTTAGTCGTGTCCGACTCTTCGTGACCCCATGGACCAGAGCACGCCAGGCACTCCTGTCTTCCACTGCCTCCCGCAGTTTGGTCAAACTCATGCTGGTAGCTTCGAGAACACTGTCCAGCCATCTCGTCTTCTGTCGTCCCCTTCTCCTTGTGCCCTCCATCTTTCCCAACATCAGGGTCTTTTCCAGGGCGTCTTCTCTTCTCATGAGGTGGCCAAAGTATAGGAGGTGTCATATATGCATTTGCACTGTGCAGACCTCCCTGCCCTCTTGCACCAGTGATGGGAGGTCAGGTAAGTTTTGCTGCCCCCACAACCTGCTACGGAGGTTGCTACTGAACAAAATTCAAAAAAAATATTGTGACCGGGAAAATATAGGGGACAATCATAGCTGAACTGTATTTTTACCTTTTTTAACATATACTGTATCACTGAGAATGGGGAAAGAATTGAGTTTCTGCTAGGCAAAAAAACGGAGGTGGTGAGAGTTTTCTGCAGTCATCAAATGAAATGCTTTCTGGGCACCAAAGACTCTTGTCCCCCACATGAGCATAAGGGCTCCTGCTCATGGAGGGAACTGGAACCCCGCAGAGGTTCCACACTGGAGGATAGGGATAGTTCGGCAATTTCCACCAGTTCCACCAGTTCCACTGCAGCCTCCTCCACAGCCAGCAGCGTAGCTAGACGCTCGGGTGCCAGGTGCGGCCCATGCATCCTGCAGCCAGGGGCGGGGCGCGCTGCATGGAACCTCTCCACTGCCTCTTCCTCAGCTGTAGGGCAGCTGGAGTGGCAGAGGGCAGACACAAGTCCCACACTGCCATTTCAGGGAGCACAGAACCTGCAGGCGCCCAAGCCACCACATCACTCCCAGGAGAGACATGTGGCTCGGGCACAATGCAGGCCCTGTGGTAAGTACTAGCCCCCGTGGTGTGGCGCCCAATGCCAGCAGCGTTTTGTTATATTTGTTGACTGAACTCAAAAGTTCCGTGAGCCCAATTATTATTTTTTAACTCATATATTTGTCATTTTGTCACCCCCCTCAGTGATGACACCCGGGGCGACCCACATCCCCCACACCCCCTTCCTCCGCCACTGTCCGCAGCCACCTCCTGCACTGTTCTGGAAAGTTCCTCAGTCATCTGGTGCACTTTTTCAGGGGGCTGCAGAGGGACCTTCTTCACTGCAAGTGGAACTCCACCGGGGCAGCCCAAGACATTTTGGTACCTGAGGCAAATCACAAAATGGTGCCCCTCCTCATTGTTATGGACAAAAAGGAGTATGAAGAATGACACCAGGAACAAGGAGGGAGTAAATATCTACAGCGGAATCTGCTGCCCCTGTGGTTCCTGCCACCCAAGGTGGTTGCTTCACCTACCTCATGATTGTGCCGGCCCTGAAATCCACTGAGCCCATCTTCAGATCCAGCTCAATGTGCCCCTGAAGTAAGTGAGCAATGGATTGGACCCTATATGTCTTTTGGGGTTTGCAGACTCATTTTATAAAGATTTCAAGGCTTGTCCACTTAGGGCTTCACATATTATTGAAGTATGCTATGAATTATAGCATTATGGAGACAAATATTGGCAGTGATAAGAGTAGTAGTTTTTGCAATCACTTTAAAAAAAAAAGGTTTCAGGAAAATCCTGTCTTAAAATACACACTTCTTGGCTCCTGTATTCCAGTTTTATGTTATTTTCAATTTTATTTTTTTACAAGGCAAAGATAATGGGGCGCCAGGATACTGAAAAAGCCCAAACCATTTTCAAGGCCATTGTTAGCTGATAATTAATGCAGTACATGTATCACTTTGAAGATGGCTGGTAGTACAGCATTTTATGATAAATAGACTTTATGGGGGTTTTTTTTAAAAGCAGGATTTTGTAAAAAGGCTACCCCAATAAATGATTTACCAGCTCCAGTAAAAGATCAAGGAAATTGCTCAGATTGCATCTCAGAGTATCTAAAACTCTGATGTTTATGGAAACCTAAAAAGCTCCTAGACCTAGAGCCCCATTATTTTTTATTTTTGTCTCTAATCATCTAACATAATATATTGTTAAAGAACTAGTAGAGGAAGGTCTGGGATCAGAGAAAGGGAGCAGCCCTTCAGAGACAAGTTGGGGAGACAGTGCGGGAACAGAGAAATGAAGAAGATAAATAATAGACAGCTTAGAGCCTACCCTTTGTTGATCTCAATACTACCCAGCATTGTGTAGAATTTTTGCGCAGCAACACACCGATTTGCTAAGCCTCTGCCTCTAGGGTGCAGAGATGTTATTGCACTACAGTTCCCATCATTCTTGGTCACTGGTCCTGCTAGCTAGGGATGATGGGAGTTGTAGTCCAAAAAAAGCTGGAAAGCCAAGTTTGAGGAACCCTGATATAGCCCATCATTGTCTACTCTGGCTGGCAATAGCTCCCCAAGGTCTTTGACAGAGAATTATTTGGCTATCACATGCTGCTCAAACTTTTGGTAACTGGAGATGCCAGGGACCAAACCTGGGTCTTTCCACATGTGACACGCGCACTGCTCTGTCACTAAGCTATCATTCCCTCCCCACAAAGCCACTGCTACCTGCTTTTCCACTAGGGCTAGAACTGGCAACTTCCTGCTCTGCAAACAACAGCTTTGAGTGACAACTCAACAAGCCACTCAGATGGAGCAGGGTATGGGTGGGCCACTGAATAGAGTTCCCATTTTTTGATTTGATAGCAACCTTCCTGGCAGCTGGTGAATCTAAGATGGGCCAGTAGTCAATAGACAAGCAGTGGGATATAGGGTAGAGCAAGTAAGAGAGGGGTGGAGCTGGGCAGGGCAGGGTGAATCACATAAATAAGAAATGATAATATTCAATTATCAAACAAATATTATTTGCAAAGATCAATCCTTTCTTATAAGGGATGGAACAGAAATTTGATTCAATTCGAATTTAAAGGTGAATGTACATAATTAGCACTTTCAATGCGCAAACTGAAACAAAGCCATCCTTTGACATTCACAGTGAATTTTGCAATGCACTTTTCCAGGCAAGTCATGTCTACAAAAATGCATTCTATCAGGGAAAACGGATTTGCACAAATAAATATTAGGGAAATTATGTATATCAAGAGAAATTTGCACTAAAATACTGTAGAATTTTCACAATGATCTTTTTATGATAAAAATCACAAATAATGATGTAGAAATGTGGAGATCTGAATTTAAGATTGGAACAAAACGAAAAACAGGAATTGACAGATTCGCCCACTCCTACTTCCTTATTAAACTTCCTCCTGCCCGCTCATCATTTCATAATCAGATTCCAAAAGCAATAGCCTTAATTGTGCTCTTAAGTGCTCCACATGGGGCCAGTGGGGATTGTTTGAAATCATAACTGCCAAGGCGAGCATGTACCTCATGTCTAATAAATCAGGCAGAAAAAGGGGCTGGCAGCATTTTGCCACTTCAGTCACTTCTGTTTTGAAATTTGCAACATGGGTTTGGGTTGAGGAAGTAGATATGCATGCCTTATTACGCAGGCATTATTACGCATGTCATCACCTACTCATAGTGGTCCTTTCCTCTCTTTCACTCTCTCTCTTAAAAAAAAAAGTGTCTAGGAAATGTTTCTGCACAAATTGTTAGCTTTGAAGAGACTAGGAGTTCTTGTAAGATGCTTCTCATAAGGTGGAGCAGGCACTCTGAAGCCAGGAGGAAAGAGGGCGAGTGAGGGGGGGGGAGGCAGCATGTTTTGTCTAACTGAAAACTCCAGGCAAAACACTAAGGCTGGCAGAATATAAAATAAGGATTTGGCAAGAATCTTGTGGTTAGAGCAGCTACTTGTGCAGCTACTCTTTTAAAAAGAAATGCCCAGGGGTCTTTAATAACCACAAATGGCCAGGAACTCATTTTTATGGCTGATTCAAACGGCATCACTTCCAGCAACAGAAGAAATGAAATGTATTTTCTGATTCCAGAAATAATGAACAGCCCCAGTACTAAATCACCACTTATTTCAACTGTCATGTTTCCTTAGATAGTTTTGCTTCTATTGCCCCCGCCCCACCCTGACCTAAAGAGGGGGGGGACAACATGTTTTGCATAGTTCTACAGGAGTAAACCAAAAACAAACTGAAAAATCAGTTTGCTCACCATACGGAGAATCTGTGTTTCTCTAACTCCTCCAGATAAGATGTTACACGGAAAGCTGGTTCATCTAGTCCGATCCCAGGACTTCCTTGGCCACACACATTGCTCGGATCATCCTGGCTCATCTAAAAATAACAGTCATAAATAAGGGAGATTAAGTGGCCAAAACAATGCACTAGAGATTTTACAACTCCTGTTTGAACGGCCTTGTTTGGGAACTACTTTATATATTTGAAATAATCTAGCAAACTCTGCAGTGCAGCACCACGGTTTTAACACACAAATAGCAAAGGAATTTAGTTAGCATTGACACACACTTTCATCTTTGTCTTTGTAAGTGCACCCAATTTGTCACTTGGTACAAGGATTGGCTTAAGAAATGGGGAATAAAACCCTAAATGTTCAGCCAGGGCAATATATCTTTAGAGCAGATAGGATACAAGGTGGCTTTGCACAGTGATGAAACTTCATTTTTCTCTACAAAAAAATTGGCATATAACATAATTGCTGAGACAATTAGGCATTGGTCTAGGCCACAGTGCAACCCTGGAGTTGGTTAATAATGTCTTAATATTCTTGAACTGCAAGCCCATCATCCCCCAGCCAGCATGGGCAATGCTCAGGGTTGCTTGGAGCTGTAGTCCAGCAATGTTTGGGGATTGGTTCTAGACAACAGTAGTGGCTCATTTAGCAGCAGGGAGTGGAGGCAGTCATGTTCTCTCAGCAACAGCGGTGCTGCATTTGCTGCCATGTGGATGGGGTGAGGCAGAAGTGAGTCCAGATGAGCTTTGGTTAGGCAGAAGCACCCTTGCAGGTGCACCTGTGGGGCTGCCCCCATCCCAACTCACCCCATCTCTGCCCTAGCCAGCACAGCATTGTCACAATTTGGAGTAAGCCAAGGCCTCTGCTCCCCCCACCACCGCAACCTACCATGGGCATAGCTAAAGGGGGGCAGCTGCCCCCCTTTAGAGCAAGTAGAACAATAGAAATACTTAACTGACCAATCACATCAGTTCCCCCCCCCCGAAAAAAGTCCTGCCCCCCCCAAATCCTGGCTACGCCCATGCAAGCTACCAATGCTGGACGGTATGTAAACAGGAAAGTGGGACCCTCTATCAGGTACTCTTGGCTTTGTAGCCTCACTCCTGTTTTAGGTATTCCAAGTTACTACTGCCCCTTTTTTTGCCTCTTGAATGGGATATTATCCACATACAAGAAAAACAGGACGTCTATTTAATGACACATCCTAATCCTGGCGTGCTCTGGTCCATGGGGTCACGAAGAGTCGGACACGACTAAACAACAACAACAACAACAAATTCTCATTATAATCCGACAGTTTGGGTGAGCCATAGATTACTACATTCAGATGCAACAGCCAACTATGGTTTGCCTCTGGTTAGAAGTGGATGTACCTCATCCTGTATCTTCCCTTGTAGGCAGAGGAAGAGGGGAGGAGAAGAGGGAGCAGGAGTGCAACTTGGTATCGCAACCGTGGGTGCCTGGGGTCGTGGGTGCCACGCAGCGTGCATGGCCCTAGCACTGAAATTTTGTGGGTGCCCGGCCCCTTCATGGGGAACCTTCATGGGGAATTTTGTGGGTGCTCAGGCACCCAGGGCCCCAGGGAGTTGGTGCCTATGCGAGGGAGCATGTGAGCCTGTGGCAACCAGAGGTTTTGGCAAAGTCATCTGAATGCAGCATGGTGTTGCACATGCTGGTCTACAAGAAGTCTGAGATTTCAAAACTAGTTGCCTGTGCAAAGCGTTGACACACTCTCTGCAAGCTTATGAGTCAGAATTACAGCGTTCAAGATGCAAAGCGAAAAGGCATTAAAACGGATTATACGTGAACTTCAATGGGTTGTGTTTGATCATGCACATGACTCAGAACCAGATCTTATGTCAAAGGCACGAGGGTGTGGCTCCAGGAAGCTTTTACTTTCTCACAATGATCGCATGGGCATAAGCACTTTGTGCCCTTTAATAACAATACGTTAATAACTTAATTACACACAGTGCAATGCTCTGAACAACATCAAATAAGATGTCACTGTATTGCTCTTTAGGCCAACAAAACATCAGAAGAACAAAAATAGCAGTAATTAGGCTGAGGCATGGAAGTCCCTTAGAAGGCTCTGAACATCTCTCCTTCTCCAAATGTAACTTCTTACATTTTCCTCCAGCAAGGGTGCTTTTGTTTTCTGGGTTTTGTTTTAAAAGTACAGTGGACATGACTCAGAGGGAAAATGAGGTGCACTTAAACCCCATTGAAATAAACACCACTTAACTGCTTAGCTATGTGCATACTTATTTATGAAGCTTTCTCTCCAATTGCTGGAGGTACCTAACAAATGCCAATATAAACAATCCAAATTTAATAAGTTAACTTAGACCAACTTATTAATTCATTTCAAGTTTATACCACCCTTCAATCATATTCCTGGAGCAGCTAACAGAAGAAAAATAATGTAGTATACATCCACTTACGATTATTGCTCTGGAACTATTGCGCTTCATGAAATAATATTTCATTATCATAAATAATTGGTTTATTGCTCGTACAAGCAATGGGTTGGTTTGAGACTTGTATTGGATGGAACTTTCCTAATAGAGAAGAAGGGGGCGTTCTTATCAGGTTCTGCATGCAGGCTTCTCATAGGCATCTGGTTGGCCATTGTGAGAACAAGATGTTGGACGAAATGGGCCGTTGACTTGATCCAGTTGGACAGTCTTATGTTCTTATGAAGATAGCCTTCAAATATTAACTTCCCAAGCTTTATAGGACATTACAGGTCATCCCTAGCACCTTGTGTTTGATTTGGTAGCATATTAAATATTAGGTGTTTGGTACCATGCCTACATGCCACAGAACCTAGGACTTGCTGATCAGAAGGTTGGCAGTTCAAATCCCTGCGACAGGGTGAGCTCCCGTTGCTCGGTCCCTGCTCCTGCCAACCTAGCAGTTCAAAAGCACGTCAAAGTGCAAGTAGGTAAATAGGTACCACTCCGGCGGGAAGGTAAACGGCGTTTCCGTGCGCTGCTCTGGTTCGCCAGAAGCGGCTTAGTCATGCTGGCCACATGACCCAGAAGCTGTACGCTGGCTCCTTCGGCCAATAAAGCGAGATGAGCGCCGCAACCCCCAAGTCGGCCACGACTGGATCTAATAGTCAGGGGTCCCTTTACCTTTACCTTACTATGCCTACAGACTTGAAAGAAGCATGAACTCAGGGTGAAAAGGAGAAATGAGCTAAGAGGAAGGCACATTTTGGAAACCCTCACTGTGTCAACTCCCACCCGGAAACCTATGTCCCCACTGCGGAAGGACGTGTGGATCCAGAATTGGCCTCCACAGTCATGTACAGACTCGCTGTTAAGACCATGTTTATGGAAGACAATCTTACTTGACTACAAGTGATTGCCAAAGAGGAGGAGGAGGAGGAAAACCATACCTACAATTATTTGTTTAGTGATGAAATTTCAGAGATTTTTGGGGGGAGGGGAATGCAAAAAGAAAGTACAAGAATTTAAAAATGGTTTTTGATGGGTTGGTCCTTTTCCAGAAGAGAATTGCTCAGATTCACTATCATCGTATGATGGACTCTAAGATCCAAACACCCTTTTGAAGGGAGCAGGTAGAAACAGAAGTGAGAATACCCAATAAACCATAAAAGTTCAGCAAAGAAAATAACCAGCTAATTACCACTTCAAAGATTGGCAGGTATTGGTGAGCTGTTAAGAGATTTATTTAGCCAAAGTCTTTGGCAGAGTGGGGAAAAGGTGTGTTCTGAGCCATAAAAAAGTTTTACTGGCATTGCTGAGTTCACAAAATGTCAGCAGTTTTCCTCCAGATGCACACAAAAACCCCCACTGAAAGTCAAGGATGCCTTTTGAACTAACTGCAATTTATAAGGCAATTGTAGATTAGATAGATGATAGATGATAGATAGATAGATAGATAGATAGATAGATAGATAGATAGATAGATATAGATGATAGATAGATAGATGATAGATAGATAGATAGATATAGATAGATAGATAGATAGATAGATAGATAGATAGATAGATAGATGATAGATGATAGATAGATAGATAGATAGATAGATAGATAGATAGATAGATAGATAGATAGATAGATAGATATAGATGATAGATAGATAGATGATAGATAGATAGATAGATATAGATAGATATAGATAGATAGATAGATAGATGATATAGATAGATGATAGATAGATTAGATAGATAGATAGATAGATAGATAGATAGATAGATAGATAGATGATAGATAGATGATAGATAGATAGATAGATAGATAGATTGATAGATAGATGATAGATAGAGATAGATAGATAGATAGATAGATAGATAGATAGATAGATAGATAGATAGATGATAGATAGATAGATAGATAGATAGATAGATGATAGACAGATAGATAGATGATAGATAGATAGATAGATAGATGATAGATAGATAGATAGATAGATAGATAGATAGATAGATGATAGATAGATAGATAGATAGATAGATAGATAGATAGATAGATAGATAGATAGATGATAGATGATAGATAGATGATAGATAGATAGATAGATAGATAGATGATAGATGATAGAGATAGATAGATGATAGATAGATCCTTACCTTGCTATATATACCATGAGCTTCCTTCACTGGGACCAGATCACAATTCTTATCAGATGAACCAGAGTTGATTGGATATGGCTCATTTCCTAAGCAGGGAAAGCACAACAAATATGTAGTTCAAATGACTGAAAATATACTTGTTTCCATAATCATATTAGGAAATTTTAAATAATTTAAGATTAATGTCTTCAGCCTGTGCGAACACAGGGCAGATGCAGGGCTGGATTTGATGAGGCCCTAAGCTACTGAAGGTAATTGGACCCTTTATATGTCCAGCTGTCCTTTGTCAGCAACAAATTGTACTGTTTTTTGTGTTGAATATAAGCTATATGGTAATTCATGGACTTAATAGGTATCTAAAGCCATTTGCACATAACAAAATATGTATTTTAAATATGTATTGTTGAACTGAAATACAATTAAGAAGTATATTAATAGTGAAATACAATTAAGAAGAAGTATATTAATAGTGAAATAATTATTAAGCTCTAACTTAAAATGTTTTTTTATTCATGTATATCCAGTCTTTTTTTCTTTAAATTTTTTGGGGCCCCAAGAGACTGGGGCCCTAAGCTATACCTTGTTTAGCTTATACGTATTGTGAAAGGATGGCCAATTGTTAGTCATTTAATCTATTATTGCCATATTTCCACTGTGTCATATTTATTGATTTATTGCCTCAGGTGACAGAATTATTGGATGGGTAACGGGTACTAACACCTCGATTTGGAACGGGGGTGCCGGTTACTGCTTTGCCTTAAGTAGTGAAATGTCTTGGGTGGGTGAGCTTCCTTGAGGAGAGTTTTCCATAACTGAGACGACACAACAGAAAAGGCCTAGTAGTCACCCACCATTACTGTTCACCATCGGGTTACCTCAATAAGGACTTCTAAAGGAGGCTCCCAAGTTCTTAAAGGCAAACCTACAGGTCAGAACCCGGAAAGGGGCCTTTTTGTTTGAGAGTTTCCTTCCCCCTGCTTTGTTTTTCCTGTTTTAGAAGCTGAGCAACCATTGCTGGACTACAGTGGTGGTGGCTGGCAGCAACTGACAGGAGGGAAACCTCTCCATCACCTGTGCTGTTGTGCCACCATAACACTTCCTTCCTTCTTCAGAGAAAATTAGGTCAGTCTGTAAAATATTAATTAAAAGGCTAGGTCTTAGAGAAGTTAAGAACCTAAGATAATCTGCTGGATCAGGCCAATGGCATAATGTCTCGGACAGTGAGGTAGACCATAGCTTCCATGGTTAGTAACCATTGCTGTGCGCTTCTGCAACAGGAGAGAGAGAGAGAGAGAGATGACCTATTTATTGAGCCAGTGTGGTGTACTGGTTAGAGGGTTGGACTAGGACCTGGGAAACCAGGGTTCAAATCTCCACTTGACATTAAGCTCATTGGGTGACCTTTGGCCAGTTACTGTCTCTCAGTCTAACCTACCTCACAGACTAGCTGTGGGGATTCACTGAGGAGGACAAAAATAATATTTGTTGCCCCAGCCACTCCATGTATGCCACCTTGAGCTCTTTTGAGGAAAAGGTGGGGTACAAATGCAATAAATAAATAATCTGATTTGCTTGCACAATGCTTACGTGAAGGTTAGACTATGGTCTTTACTGAACATTCATTCTCATTTGTTTGCAGGGACGTTTTATGACAATCAGCATTGATCCTGAATTCATCCTGATTTGTTTTGCAGTGCTTGTTGTACATCTTCCCGTTAATCATTTGTTCATCCCAAATTTTTCAGTGTGTTTTCTCCATCACTCTCCCAACCACAAATACATGTTTTTTTAAAAATGTATTTGTGGCACCAGCATGATAAAAGGTAAAGGTAAAGGTACCCCTGCCCATACGGGCCAGTCTTGACAGACTCTAGGGTTGTGCGCCCATCTCACTCAAGAGGCCGGGGGCCAGCGCTGTCCGGAGACACTTCCGGGTCACGTGGCCAGCGTGACATTGCTGCTCTGGCGAGCCAGAGCCGCACACGGAAACGCCGTTTACCTTCCCGCTAGTAAGCGGTCCCTATTTATCTACTTGCACCCGGGGGTGCTTTCGAACTGCTAGGTTGGCAGACGCTGGGACCGAGCAGCGGGAGCGCACCCCGCCGCGGGGATTCGAACTGCCGACCATACGATCGGCAAGTCCTAGGCGCTGAGGTTTTACCCACAGCGCCACCCACGCCCCTGGCACCAGCATGATAGGGGGGGTTTAATCCATATTCATTGGGTAAACCTAAATTTCGCATATGAGTTTCCACAAAATACGGAGAGCCTGGAGATGAAGGGGGGAAAGGGAAAGAAAGGATTGGTATGCCTGAGTGAGACGTTGGAGAGGAAAACAAATTGAATATACTGTTGCTGAATGATTTTCCTGTGGGCGGTTGTGCTTTGGTTGGTGGAGGGGTTTTTTGAGCTTGTATTCTTCCCTTTATTTTCTGTATCACTGAGCTCATTACTTTTAACTCTAGATAGATTTCCTGGTAAAACACAATGTACTTCTTCAGCAGCCATAAACTGTGAGGAGCTGCTTAAATTAAAGATCAATAAAAAAATTACAGGAGGAGAAAAGAAAATGTGTCATAAATAAAAAAGAGAGATGCTCTTAAAAAAATGCTGTGCAATTAAACACAATGAAAATCTGAAATGAAATTAAATTTTCTTGTAATACATTTCCCATTCTTTTCTTCAAGAAAATTACCTCAGAAGTGGAAGGGATTTCTCTTCCCCTCCCCCTCCCCACGTAATTTAAATGTTAAGCGGCCAGATGTGTGTCTCATGCTTGAAGAGTTGAAGCTTTGCATTATTTAGCATATTAAGATTCACAGAATTTAAAAAAGGCTTCCTTTATTGCCTGGAGGTTCTAATTAAGTAAACCTTAGCTTGGTACATTTAAAACTTGCAATACAAGAGATTTTGCTTCTTTCTTGGATTTTTCTTTCTGTTCTTTCTACAGGCACATCAGTATAATAAATGTGGAAAATACTTAAGATGCTATAATTTTTCTTTGGCTTGAGGAATTAAACCTATCTATTACTTTAAGAAGATTTTAATAGGGCCAGCAATCAGAAAGACATCTAACGGCTCCAGACTACTTTTTTTTTTAATCATAGGAGTTTTTCATAGTTGCTAGAGAGGAAATGTGGCTTATAAAATTCTATGTAAAAATTCCCTCTCATATACACACTACTACTCAGCAAATTAGCCCCATGAAAACAAAAACGAGAATTGCACATTTCGTCTCTGCTCAACTGCATTCTCTCTTTTTTATAACATTTTATAATTGACCGCAAAATGCTATAAAGTGCTAATTAGATGCCCTATCAACTATGAGATGATGGAAGGAGTAGAACAGCTGCACTAGAAATTGTAATTAAAATGAAAATCCCACTGACAAGTCTAGGGACAATTATAAACCATACCCAAACATAAATATTTCTGCTTTCTTAGAAAAACAATGGGGGGGGGGGAATCCAACATTGCCACTTTGCTGTAATTATTTTAGTAAGTCAGCTCCAAAATCATTACATTCTTTCTTAAACCCACTGATTTTACAAGATTAAAAGCAGATTTCAGGTTATCAGGTAAAAGGGCATGGTACAGTCCTCTGAATGTGTTCCAGAATGCAGCTAAGGGACTGCATCTTGAGGTATGATGGGAGACAAGGGAGTGACACTTTATTGGTTCTCCTGGACATCTTTGTCTTTTGATACAATTGACCCATGGTATCCTTCTAGAAAAGCTATCCAAGTAGCGAGTTGGGGCACTGCTTTATGGTCGCTCCATTCTTACCTGAACAGTTGGCTCCAGAAAATGGTGCCGGGGATTTGTGTTTGGTCCCTTGGGGTTCCATGAGGACAATCTTATTCTCCATCCTATTTAATATCCACAAGAACCTGCTGGGTGGGGACATCTGGAGTTTGAAGCATGCTGTCATCGATATGTGGATGACACACAACTCTATTTCTCCCTTTTTTTCCTCAGCAGATACAGTGGTGGATGTTCTAAGGCAGGTGCCTGTCTACAGAAATAGACTGGTTGAGCACCAACAAGCTGAGGCCAAAGCCAAACAAGATGAAGATGCTGCTTGAGATGGTTCCTTGGTCCAGATCTAGAGAGGGTTGCACTCACCCAGGAGGATCACGTTTGGAGCTACATCCACCATTGTCCCTGGAGGCAAAAGTGGCCTATGTTGCATGGAATTCACTTTGCCACCTTAGTCTGGTGCCCCAGGTACATCCCTATCTTGATGGGGATATCCTAGCATCAGTAAACCATGTTCTGGAAACCTCCTGTCTAGATTACTGCAATGTTTTATATGTGAGGTTGCCTTTGAAGGTGGTCCAGAAAGTTCAGCAGTTGCAGAATCTGGCTGCATATTTACTACCAAAGACCAGGCATTCACAACCTACCACACCTGTCCTTGCATGCCCTGACTGCCAGTACATTTCCAGGCCAAATTCAGGGTGCTAACATCAACCTATAGAGCCTAACACAGCTTCAGGACCCCAGTACCTGAAGGAACGCCTCTTCCCATATAAGCCTACTTAGATATCAAGATCATATACAGAGGCCCTTCTTAGGAAGCCTCCTCCATTGGAAGAGTGGAGGATGGCAATGAGGGAAAAGGACCTTTTCGGTGGTGGCTCCCTGACTACATAATGCTCTCCCCAAGGAAGCTCACCTGGTGCCTTCTGTGGCAGTTTTTTGGTATCAAGCAAAGTCTATCCCAGCTTAGTCTTTTTCGGTTTTTTAGCAGTTTCATTAGTTTTAACAGTGACACTTTTTAAGGGCTTCAGAGTTAACATTTATCTCCTGCTGACAGTTTTTAAATGTTGCTTCTTGGAGTTGTAATTTGGATGGGGAAACGTATAATTATTATGATTTATTAGATTTATATACTGTCCTTCATCATAAGATCTCAGGGCAGTTCACAGCATAAAATACAGGATAAAAACAAGTAAATAAGTAAAACAAAACAGCAAAACAATACCCCCCTCCTTCCCACAGACACATTTAAAGGCTGTAGAATGTTCATCAGCCAAAGGCCTGGCTGAAGAACTTTGTTGCCTGGCGCCTAAAGATATATAATGAAGGCACCAGGCGAACCACTGATGTTCTTATGTAATTTTGTTTATGGATTGTTTTTATTGTATTTCCTATTTTGTATGTTGCAATTCGCCTAGGAGCTCAAGGTGACACACACATTTTAAAATAATAATAATTGTTGTTGCTGCTGCTGCTGCTGTTGTTTCCTGTGGTGGGGATTTTGTTATGTGATGTGTACACCGGGCTCTTATTAGAGAACAGTTTCTAGAAAACAGGCTAGAGCAACTGAAATGACAAGACACCAATTTCTTTTGCGACATAAATAAAATGATATTATCTGCCCGGACCCAAGACCCTACCCATGCACAATCTATCTAGGCATGGGGAAATGGAGGACGCAAACTCCTTTATTTCAGCAAATGTCACTGACCCCTTTGAAACACTGCCTATAAGGAATTATTGATAGGAGCAGCTTCTGGCGTTTTATCAAGTAATTACGTTTACATCCTATATATACAGCAGACACAGAGAAGCATGCTGCATGCTGGAAGCCATAGCCCCCTTGAAGTTGTACAGAATGGGAAGTGGAGTAAGGAAAAGCCTGCTGCATTGCCACAGCAATTGCTTCATAAGTCAGCCAGGGAGCATAAATGTCATCTCTCCTAGGGCCTTTCCAGCTGATACAAGCTTCACACTCCCCTCTTAGCTCCCTTTGAACATGAGATCCATCCCAGAACCAGCAATGTGACCCAACGTCCTGAATGAAGCCCACAAGCCATGTCTGGTGGCTCAGTGGAGTATAGAGTGGATCAGTTGTCAACCTATTTCAGTCCCATGCTAATTTCACGTACAGTGGTACCTCGGGTTACAGACGCTTCAGGTTACAGACTCAGCTAACCCAGAAATAGTACCTTGGGTTAAGAACTTTGCTTCAGGATGAGAACAGAAATCATGAGGCGGTGGCGGGAGACCCCATTAGCTAAAGTGGTGCTTCAGGTTAAGAACAGTTTCAGGTTAAGAACGAACCTCTGGAACGAATTAAGTACTTAACCCGAGGTACCACTGTATGTGCATAAAACCAGCTCTGTCTTGTTCCATTTGTGGGTGAATGGGTTATTTGGGCGGGATCCTCAAAAAGCCACTGGGTTTTACCCTCATTTCCCTCACTCACTTCCCAAAAAAATTACAAGGAGGTCTGAGTTGTGCCTTTCTTTCTTTCTTTCTTTCTTTCTTTCTTTCTTTCTTTCTTTCTTTCTACATTATACAGCTACTTGGAATAGCTAGTAAATCCACCATGGTCGCACAATTAAAAGAAACTTTTTTAAAAAATGCTCCCTGGAAGTAACTATACATCATAATGCAGAGTGTCACTTCCTGGGAGCATATATTTTTTTAAGCCACGGAGGAAGTATTAGCTGTTCTAAGCAGCTGTAAAAGGTTAGCAGAAGGAAGCTCTCGGACCACTCCTCATAAGTACAGGACAGGCCTAAAGGCATGGATCAGTTTATGGATTAGGTGGCATAATCTGCAAATTTGTGTTCTGATCCACACACACAGAAACAGTACAATAGTTTGAAAAAGAATTTCCCCGTGGCTGCTGGAAGATGAGAGTTTATTCTGTTCATCTGAGCTGCAAAATGATTTTAAGATCATGAATAAGGCAAGCCATTTGGGGAAGGAGACCTCTGTTAGCAAAGAGATGCTGCTAATAATACTGGTGTGAGGAAAGAAAGGGGTGAGCGGGAGACATCATGATCTGCAAATATAAACCGCCAAATAAAATGCAAAGGGGTGTAAAAATGTCGTAGAAACACCACCTCTAATCTGATGTTGTCAGTACACTCCACACACACCTTGTAATTGCAAACACATTGAGCCTAGACACACACACACACACACACAGCCTTTCTGTACCTTTTCTGCAGGGCTCTGTTTGATCCTTCACATTTGATTTAAACTTGTCCGTGGCTTCGCCTGCCTAGTGAAATAATTGACAGACGGTATCGTTGGGGGTGTGGAGATGTGTGTTTTCATAATCGAAAGACATATGCAAAGCAAATCTATTTTCAAAGTGTTAGCAAATTATCCGGAGCGATAAAAGCTCTGACCTGCTGGAAACATTTCAAGAGCTGGTCCTTTCTTTTCGTCCGAGTTTCTTTTGACACGCACCGTTCCCAACCTTCTGCACCATTAAACTGCTTTCCCACTTCCTTTTCAACAGTGGGAATACTTCCCTTATGGGTGTCAGAATCTCTCGGAGAGGTCAAAGGTCGCCCTGCGGAGGAAATAACAAGCTGTGAAATGTAAAAGAACAATTCCTTCCACATGTTTCCTCGCTCCGAGAACAGCAAAGCACTGTCAGCCACCATCACTTCGGGATGGCCCAGGCCCTTGCAAAACAGCTCTGTCAAAACAAATTTACCATTAAAAGACCCGCGCAACTGTTTAAAGCTTTTTACTACCCCTCTAGTAGATGAGAACGTTGTTCACTGAAACCAAATGGGGTGCATTAAAAGTGAGGCCACCAGAGAAAGATGAGCCACGGCGTGGTCCAGCTAAAGCGAATGAAGTGTGTGTACACATGGATGTGAATGCATTGTTTTAATTTGCAATGGGCAGCATGTGCTTCCCTTAAAATGGAACACTTTGGCTGGTTTGTTTGCTCAAAAAACAATGACATGTCATAGGAAGTTTCCACATGGGGGCTTTATCCCAAAAAAGGGTTGTTCAGATCCAATGTTTCTGCGTATGTGATTAGCTTCCATAGTTTCCATTTCCCCACATCATGGATCTTCGTTGCTATTCTTGCCACTTGCCATCCACTCCAGTGGGCGGAGCTTGATGGAAGCTTTTATCTCTGCTGTGTTTGTCTTCCCTTTCCCATAGTCACTCCTCTCACATCTTCCACTTCCTTCCCTCATTTTCAGCATGCATGATGGTATTTCTGCACCTTTATGCACACACCTTTACCAAAAAAAATCACCAGAAGTGCCCAAGATTACAATAACAAATGTTACCAATCTATTTCTGTCAGTTCTGCAATTTGTATCTTAGTAGAAATGTGCAGTAAAATGCTGACATTCCAGCCTGGACACCGAAGTCCAGCTCCGAGCATAGCTGTCAACGTTTCCCTTTTTTTAAGGGAAATTCCCTTATTCCAAATAGGATTCCTCGCAAGAAAAGGGAAAAGTTGACAGCTATGGCTCCGAGGGCCTTCACTGGGAGAAGTGAGGTTACAGGGAACCGGCCAGAGGGCCTTCTCAGTAGTGGCACCCACCCTGTGGAACACCCTCCCATCAGATGTCAAGGAGATGAGGAACTATATAACCTTTAGAAGACATTGAAAGGCAGCCCGGTATAGGGAGATTTTTAACGTTTTATTATGTTTTATATGTGCTAGAAGCCACACAGAGTGGCTGGGGAAACCAGCACTAGATGGGTGGGGTATAAACAAAAAAAAATATTTACTGTTATTGTTTTGTTTCTATTATCATTTTAAAATGACAGAACTTCCAAATTAGCAAGTCCTTGCAACAAAAAAGAGCAAGGGATGGGAGGGAAATTAGGTTCAACCTGCGTTTAAAGACGGATCTACCTAATACATGCATCCTAAAGCAATATGCAAACCCACAACACAGATAGCCTTTGAAATCAGCATGTCTCCCAACGGTGTGATGTGGTTCTCCATGCAAAAAAATTGTGTCCGATAATGTGTACTAGAGTATATGCATTCTTGCATGACTTAGTGTAATTGCATTACAAATTGCATTGAAAATTTGTATATTAGTAGACATGTGCAGTAAAATGCTGACAGATGTTGCAAACTGATACAGAAATGTGGCACACTGAGTTTCAGATTAGAAAAACAAGAACCTGGAAGAAACTGAAATTGACAAACTGGTCGACTCTTCCCTTCTACACTTACCATACGCAGCATAATAACTAGCATTTCAGGCTTATCCAAATTTTGCAATGCAGTTCTCCAACTGAGCAACGTTTACAAAAATGCAAATATTAGACATCAGTGAAAATAACCGATTCATTAAATTGGGAGAAACTGCTTATATAAAATGTGCACATTAGTCAAAACTGTATGCAAAAATGTGTTTATTGGAAGAAATTTGCACTAAAGGGCTGGAGGGAAATTCCTGAGGATTTTAATCACGAAAATCTGCAAATTGCTGCAGAAATGCGGAGAGCTGAATTCATCCACCATTGCATCCCTCATTTCTAGGCACACATCTGGGGTTTCCAGGTCCAGTTCCAAATGCTTTGGGGGCGGGGTTGCACCACTGCTTTCCCCATGAAAACCCGCTGCAGAAAACCCAAATTGCTGTTTGCTCCAAAGTAGCAAGGGAGGGGGGAAGTGCTCTGACAGGGACCAGGAAATAAAAAGTACAGAGCAAAAGGTAAGTGTTCATAACCCCTCAAACCGAAAAAAGAGAGACAAGCTGTACCAAACAGAAACTGACTGAAACTGTGTCCGCTCCTATTTTCTACACATGCCACACTCAACCTAATGACATATATTTCTCCAGCATAAATTGTTGGGCTGGATTTGTCTGTTAGTTTATTAAACACGAGGGGAGAGAAATCAGCTTCTGCTAAATCACCTCCTTGCTTTGGTGTTGGTTCTCTATTTTCCCTGCTACTTGCTTGCAGTTTAATTGGATAGACATGCTTTCAGATTTCAACAGGAAGGAGCAACAGGGAGATGCATCTGACAATGGTGTTACTCGTGTTATGATAAATGCATCACCTGACGGAATTTGAATCAGAGATCAAAAGGTGCTCAGACTTGAGAACACACGCAAAGTGGATTATTCGAACATCTTCCTCCTTGCAAAACACCACATTACTTTTCAGGTATAGAATCTCTCTCCACCCCCCACTGCCAACTTTCAAGTGTGAATGAGCTGTCAATGTCTTTTTCACAACCAAGACACCTGCTATTAGAATCTAGTCTGGGGCCCATGTTGAATTTCACAGAAAGGCTGCCTTCAGATTGTGTTGTGTTTTGATAAGAAATGAATAATCACCACCCCACTCCTTACATTAAACATTACCCTGTGTTTTTGTTTTTTTAAAAAAAATCATTTTCCTGAATGATCTGCTTCTCTTCTCTTTAAACATGAAAGCTTTCTGATGTTTTATTTATTGTTTATGGCTATTTTGTTATGTACCGTATTTTTCGCCCCATAGGACGCACCGGCCCATAGGACGCACCAAGTTTTTTGGGGAGGAAATAAAGGAAAAAAAATATTATCCCCCCCCCCGCGCTCTTCTCCCCACAGCCCACCTTCAGAGCAGGTCCAGGGACAGCGGGAAGACGCGCTGCGCCTCCCCGCTGTCCCCGGAGCTTGTGGGGCTGACGGCGGGGAGAAGCACGCGTCTCCCAGCCGTCAGCCTCCAAACCACATCGGGAGACAGCAGGATGGCGGCGCACCGACCCCTCTCGCTCTCCAGGCTTCAGCGAAAGCCTGCATTCGCCCCATAGGACGCACACACATTTCCCCTTCATTTTTGGAGGGGAAAAAGTGTGTCCTATAGGGCGAAAAATACGGTACTTTTTTCACATTGTAAGCCTCCTTGAGCATGGTTTGAACTGTGGAAAGGCAGCATAAAAATAAGATTATGTAGGTATCGAAATGTTTTCCGCCAGCATTATAAAGCATATTAAATAGTTATTAGTCTCTTATAAGACTGTTCCAGTGCATTTTTCTGGGGGGGACACAGGGGTACGCATACCCCTAAACATTTTGTGAATCTAAGTTTGGCCTCATTGGGGGGCAGTATTTCAATATGAGTAGGAAAATGAGAGTACCCCTAAACTTTTTTAGAAAAAAAGCACTGGACTGTTCTAACATCTCAGCGAATCTTGTCAAAGAATATAAGCACCCTCCTCATTTGCAAGAGACTTTTCTTACATTTTCTAACTTGCATCTTAGCATTAGCAAAGTTTTATGTTGTGTCCTAATAGATTAAAGACAGTATTTATAAGATCTATCAATGGGCAACAGCTTGCTGCAGATCATAAATGCAATTTGTTCTGTTGGAAATGGCAATGCTGTACATTTCGTCACGTGGGCCCCAGTTCCCCAAGGTTTGCTCCTTTAATTGTAAATAGCCAGAAAGTCATCAAGCTGGTGTTTAATAAACTTTTAATTTGAAATGGATTACCACATGTTGTGTTTGTTTGCCCATTATTAAATCTCTTAGCAACATATCACCAGCAGAAACAGCATACTGTAGCACGACATGGATATATATTAGAAAACAAACCCACAGGGAGATATTAACAGCTAATAATATCTTTAAAGAAGCCTCCAAGTAAATAAATAAATACAAATGATAAAGAAAATTATTCCGAAGGATTTCTGTTGTGTCAGTGGTTGCAAGCTGGGGGGGTGTAAGGCTTCGACATTCAGCACATGTTACCTTTTGTTATGCACAACAGCACATGGATGTCAGTCGCAGAATTATCTTATGGTGCTGTGCATTTATATCTGCACATTTACATGGCATAGCATAACGTATGCAATATATACACATGTACTTTCAGGGGAAAAACTAGGGCATTTATGGGCTAATGTAGACATAATAAAGCATGAAGACCCTGATGCCTACTGAAACTGCCCTTGGGCATTTTATGGTGGCAATTCCCCTCCCCCCACTCTCAAATCCATGCACACATCATGGCCTTCATGTCCAATGATTTCCCCAACCTGATGTCCTCCAGATGTTTTGGACTACAACTCCCATCATCCCAGACCATTGACCATGCTGGTGGGGGCTGAGGGAAGTTGTAGTCCCTGGAAGGAACCAAGTTGGGGAAGGCTGACCTTGATCAAGAAAGGGAACCTGGTGCTCTCCAGATGTTGCTGGCCTAGAACTTTCACCAGCCACTGCCTGTACTGGCTGGGTTGATGGTAGCTGGACTTCAGCAACATCTAGAAGACATCAGGTTCCCCATTCCCATCCTTGATCATCTTACCACTTGGATGGAGCTTGTCACTCAACTGAGAATGGTGCTTTCTACCACAACAGATGTAGCTCCCTTCTTTGCATGGCTGAGGAGCTATCCATGGAAAAGGAGAGACTGCATTATAACTGCCTTTACAGAGACTCACCTCCTGCAAGAGAGGGGAGTGGTTGTGGGCGGGAGCTGGTATCCGCCTCAAGCAGGGGGCATTAGCCCCCTGCCTCCCACTCACCTGGCTGGCGCCCACGCCCACGGGCAGGCACCCAACCAGGTGCCTTCGAGGGGGCGTGAACAGCAGCCTAAATTGCTGCGGCACCAGCCTCCCGGCCTCACTCTTCGTCATCCCGTCGCGAGTCACCCACCCTCCACTCCCTTAGAGCTCAGGGTCTCATTTTCTTTTGGCCTTGCTATGGACCTTAGGTTGGTCGCCCTGGTTGTCCGGGAGGCCTGGTAGGAATTTTTCCATTTGGCATTAGGCTTTTTGGTTTTTTCGCCTACCTCGTAGCAATCGTCACAACTTTCGTGGTATTGGTGGGTAGGTTAGGCATTGGAATAATGTGTTGTGGTGTGTCGAAGGGCTAGGTGTGGCCATCGCCTACACCTTCAATTTTTGGGTATTCCGTTAAAGGAATCCGGCGGTCGTGTATTCTGTCCGATGCCTGCGTGGCGGGAGGCCATGGCACGACCCTCGGTGACATCAGGGGAGAGCTTATAGTTGGATTAGCATCAACAGGCTCCACCTACTGGTGAATAGACTTGTTTTAGACTCCCCCCTTGTTTTAGACTCACCCCTCTCTGAGGGGGTGGAGTCAGCTGACGTAATCCAATGCCTAAGCCAATACCTTTTCACTTGCTGTAATGAATAAAGTTGTGGCCTTGTCTTGCCCATTAACCTTATATCACGTGTCCTTGTGTTTTCATTCCACTTTGCGGGGATCGGATCCTCGAACCACAATGCAGACAATTATCCACGACTTCATTACTCTCAGAGCACTAAATAAGTGAAGAGCTGGAGTCGGTCAAACTTTCTAACACCCAACATTGAGTGAAGGTGGAAGAGAATTTTTAAAATATGAAAACCAAGGTGACGTGTCCCTCACAATAAAGGATACCTGATATGTCTCCTGTTTCCTGGGAGATATTGATTTATTTAAAAACAAAAAATGAACAAAGAGTATCTAACCTTGAAGTGAGGCAAAAGAACATATTGAGTGGCAGTGTGGTAGGCATGAACTTTTTAGTCCATTATCTTGTAGTCCGCCTGTTGTTTCCTTCTTCAAGACTCTATCCTTCTCAGCAATGCTTGAATATGCAAGGTCTGAAGAGAGCTGTAGGGCTGCCTCATATTTGTTCTGCTCATCTGAATACCGTGGTAGTTTAATTATCTGATAAGAGAAAACCCTGTTATATGAATAGGTCAGCCATATGCAAAATTATTCTTCTAATATTCTCAAACTTTCAATCAAAAAGGTTGATCTACAATTCTGTGGAAACGCCCACTGCAGGGGTCCGCCAGTCATTAGTTTCTTCTTAATTCACATAATTCCTGTTCTAAATGCTCTCAGTGTGCAGTGCAATAATTTAAAGACACAACTGTCCGTCAATTTGCGAATCCAACGATCCAATTATTCCCCCACAGCCACAAGCCTCGATGGGTCCTTTAAAACTGACTTTGAAGTTCGAGTATGAAAGCAATTTCCAAGTCTTACAGTTTTAAATACTGCATTACAGCCTAATATAGCCACAACATATTTTCAACAGGGCTTTGGTTTCTGAACAAGTTGCCTGCCCCTAGTGTAAAGGCTGAGAAAGATGGGCTTCCCTCAAGGTGCACTGCTGAAGCATATCCCTTCCATCATTGCTGTAACATTCACATGAATGTTGCTTTTCAACCTTAAAATAACATTAAAGCTATATTATAACAAATAGGGAGATAGATATGCTGTAAGGGTGGATGCAGGTTAGGAATGCTGTTTCCTACCAACCTGGAAATAGAGGTTGCACAGCCAGTGATCCAAGTCAGAAGAAATCCATTGTTCAATTTTTTGGAACCTATCAATTTTAGAGTTGTAGTGGCCTCTGAGGAAAGGACACTTAAACTTCCCATCCACGGTGTCCAAATTGTTATTACACAAAGGAAATGCTCCCCAGCCCACAACTCGGTCAATGCAAGTATTGGTCCCGCGAAGGAGAAAGAGTTCAAAGAGAAGTATCTCTCCAGGCGTCCCATCCTTTCTGGCTGGAACCTCCTATTGGAAAGAGGAAGGATCAACGATATGCCTATTTGGAAGAATGCCAACATAGTTTAAGAAAGGTTTTGCAAACAATGTCAGATAATAGCAGGCATAAATCTGAGAGGGTAAATGTGAGCAAGCTCTTCTAAAGCAAATGCTGGAAACATTCTCAAGGAGCTTCCAAACTGGTGCTGTTTCAAGGTAGGATTCCATCAGATGCCAGTAAATTCAGGCTGTGCAATTTGAATTGATTGGGAGCTCTTGTGCAACAAACCCACTTCCCCCAAAAAAGATTCAGATTTTTGCCATAAGTGATGGGGAAATGCACTGAAAAGTGTAGGATAACACTTGCTGGACACAACATTGTCTAACTGCCCACGAATGAATTGAGATGGATGCTCACTAAACAGCTAGCATCACCCAGCCTCCCTGTAAACAAATCAGGATGAATTATCAGTCAGCAGGTTCTTTGGAAGGGGCCATCATTAGACCATTTTAATTCTATTTTATTTCTGAATGGAATATATTAAAAAAATTTTAAAAGGCCCTTAGAGACCAACTAAGTTTGTACTTGGTATAATTATTCATTATTTCTGAATGTTTTCAATTGTGGATATTGCAGAAATGCCTAAAAATATTGACAGGGCAGTTATCAGAAATCATTGGATAGCAATACTGATGAACAGACATTTTGTTTCACCTCTAAATGGCACAGTATGTTGCTTCTCTTCCCTTCCCCCTGCCTCTTTCAGTCAAAAGAACCTAAAACAGCAGCTTCAAAGTGCTTGGTGCAAGCAGAAGCTGCTTGTTGCCTTCCCTTTCAAGAAACTGTCCACATGTGCAAGGGGCATGGAAGTGTGTGGCTTAATTATTCCATGGCATTGAAAAAAGAAGCTGTCTTACACCCAGTCCGACAATTGGTCCATCTAGCACAGGCTTCCTCAACCTCAGCCCTCCAGATGTCTTGAGACTACAATTCCCATCATCCCTGACCACTGGTCCTGCTAGCTAGGGATCATGGGAGTTGTAGGCCAAAACATCTGGAGGGGCGAGGTTGAGGAAGCCTGATCTAGCTCAATAATGTCTGACAGCAGTTCTCCAGGGCTTCAGAATGGGAACATTGAAGATGCGGGGGATTAAATCTAGGGCCCCCTGCATGCAAAACAGGTGTGCTACCACTAAGCTACTGCACATTGACAGAGGTGTACCTAGGTATCATGGACTGGTTGGATGCAGAGGGATAGTGGGAGGAACCAGCAGGGGAACCCCCAAGGGAAGAAGGCTCAGAGCCTTCTGGTGGTGGGATGAGAATGAGTGGTCAGAGGGAGAAGACTGAGAAGAGGGTGTGTTGGAACCTGAGGAGGTAACAGGGCTTAGTGACTCAGGGAAGCCTGTGGCAGGGGGTAGTCCAGAATCAGAAGCAGGAGGGGGGGTGCCAAAAGGCAGAGATGAGTCTGGCTGGTGAAGAAGCACGTGTGTCTCCCTGTCCTGCTGTGACAAGCTCCCCTCCTCCTTGGTCTCCCAGAATCAGAAGAGGCATGCAGAGGGTGGAAGAGGTGAGCTTCACTCAGGAGCAGTCTCAGATTGCTTGGGGGAAACCCTGGAGAGGCAGGTACGTAGATTTCTGTGGGGAGGTGGGGACCTTTACTCTCACCTGCCAGAGGTGAGCTGCTGTACTCCTTAGGCCTGACACTCCGGTGCAGATTTTGGGGGGGGGGGTTGCTAATAAAGAGTTAACTCCAACGTGCTTAGTTTGATTACAGTGGTACCTCTAGTTGTGAACACCTCTGGATACGAATGCTTTGGGCTACACACACAGCAAACCCGGAAGTAACGGAAAGGTTTCTGCTGCATGCTCAGAAGTGGGCTACTGCTGCGCGTGCATGTGCAGAACAAGCACCTCTGGATGCAAATGTTTCGGGGTAAGAATGGACCCCTGGAACAAATTAAATTCGTATCCAGAGGTATCACTGTACTGCTGGCTTGCCTCTGTCACTAGGCTCCCTTGTGCCCTTGGCAAGGAGATGTTGGCACCCAGAACAGCAGAGGAGTGGCCCGGGGAGATTGCAGACAGGCTCCTAGCCACTTCAAGCCAAAGTGGAGAAGCACAATTTTGGTGCCCCCCCCCTCGGGTCTGCACCCTTGGTGGAGGCTCATCTACCCAACCCCTAGGTATGCCCTACACATTGAAGCTCCCTCATTGAGCTTTGGATTCCAGCCATTTGACAGAGCAGCAGAAACAGCAATTTCAGATAATCAAATGGTTATACTTGCATTGTTTCAGCTGAAAAAGAAATGCAACTAAGCATTGATAACAGGGGAGGACAACATTTCAAGGTTCCTTTCTTTTCAAAGTGTATACACAGTGTCACTCCTGTGTATAGGCTTACTTTACATGAATGGTTTGTGAACGCTTAAGATGAAACAGAAGCACCCGCTGAACAATGCCATAACCCTGTAGCAGCTGCTTCTAGGCCATAGACAGGATCGAGTTTCATTTAAACCAGATTTACCATTTTTCAATAAATAACCCATGGGGAAGTTAAAAACATTAGTTATCAAATTACTGACAGAATATGCCCCTTATCAAGGCATTTGGCTACTTGGGTCCTAGACTCAGGCATGCAACACGTTCCATTTAAACTCGGCATGTGCTTCTTCATTGATTTCAATGGAGGAATGGATCGCACATTCCCTCTTCTCAAATAAAGTTAGCAAATGTATTTCCTTATATTTCTGGGAGTAAGGGAAGGAGATAAGGAGAGGTGGTGGGCTCATTCTAAGCACATGCTCTACCACTCAGAACTATCATCTCTCCCCTAGTTCATCTTTCTTGTCTGTCTTACTAACTTCTCCTATGTAGCTACAGAAACCTGGATTAAATTAGCCTGAAGTATTTTTTAACCCCAAATCCCAGTTTATGCTCCATTTATTCATGTTCAAAAGTCTCCTCAAATTATGCACCAGCAACTGAGAATAAAGACATGCAATTCCTTCCTTGCGTTGTACTGAATAGCGCTGCATTTAATTGAATTAAAAGATATTGAGCTAAGAATCATCTCTTGATACTATTTCCAAAATCAACAGCTTTATATTAATTTTGTTGTCATAATATATTTTACTTCCCCATATGCCACTGCATTACAACATGGAAATGCTCAAGAGAGAGAATGAGGTCTATTTGAATATTTCAAATTAGCAGGTTCGGTTTGGGGATTTTTCTATAAAGTGTGCCTCCAAGAAGTCCAACTTGCTCTTGGGTTTTTTGTGGCTAAAAGAGAGATAAATCTATACTTTTTTTCTTTGTTTTCTTTCTCCCCCACCCCCAAGGAGCTGAACTTCAGAGAGTACTGCACAAAGCCCATTATTTTTACAGTCCCAAAATGACAAAGCCCCAGCACACATAATGATGTGATTTTTTTGAACATCTGCCATACAATTAGATCAGCATCTACCAAGTCCCAAAACTATATAGCATAACAATACAATCAAATTTCAATATTACTGAATTTGTGGCCAATTGTTCCTTGTCAATAAAATATTCATTTTAATGCCTCTAAAAATCATTTTTGTGGGACCATATTCTTCGTAAGTCAAATGCAAAGGAACTCAAACAAACAAGATGAGCTAGCTATAATTTCCATGAACATAGCACTAAGGGATTGTTAAACAAAGTTCTGTCCAGACCTTATTGCATGAGGGGAATGCTAAAGAATAAGACTTAAATGGAAGAAAAAGGCAAAGGAAAATGAAGAAGTAAGCATGGGTGAAATAAAACATGAATTCAATTCACTAAATATAGCTATGCATATAGGATGGAAGGAAAGCTTGGTTGGCAGTTATCCGGGGTTTTAGGTAAGGGCCTTCCCAGTGCTTTCTTCAGGCACCAGTGATGAAATCTGAGACCTTCTACACACAAAGCTGACTGAGGTATATATTCAGTATGGTAATTTAATTCACTGAAATTGTAAATGCTTGTAGGCATCACTATATGTTGAAATTTGATTGGTTGGTAACTGAATCCCAGAGAGTTCTCTAGTAGTTCTCATGTGACTCATTACCGTTGGTCACTTGAGAGGTATCTAGTGAAGGAGAGACTCCATTTTATGTGAAGCAAGATGGCTGTGTTTTATAATCCACTGTGAACAATGCTAAGTTTAATGGAGCGTTGGAGTGCTTCTTCTCTGCTTGGAAGAAAGAGAGCAAAACTGCAGGAGAAGGTGAAAGTGGAAATCTCTCATAGGAGCTGCAAGTTGTGGCCTAACTGAGATACAGAAGACTGAGTGATGAGCTCTGAAAAGGGAGGAAAATACAGTTGTTTGGAAGTTTTGAGATTAGAAGAAGAGACTGTAAACCCACCCTTGGGTAAGCATATGACTGTAAATTGTTGTTTGTTGTTTAGTCGTTTAGTCATTTCCAACTCTTCATGACCCCATGGACCAGAGCACGCCAAGCACTCCTGTCTTCGACTGCCTCCCACAGTTTGGTCAAATAAATATTGACTGTAAATATTATATTTCAATTCTTCAATTCATCTGCAAGTAAAGTTTTTGAATGTTAAAGTCTGAACATCGGTTTGATTTCCAAAGAAGGGTGTCCATCATATATATGATTTGAGCTTCTTAGCTACGATTTCGCTACCCTTACTTCAACAGTACAACCGTCCCTTGTTGCAGAAGCATCTCCCACGTCACATCTAGTTCAACTCTGACACAGCTGCAGGTGCAGAAACATTCTCAAGACCATCATGGCATAAGAGCCAACCCTCTTCTCAGCAGTGGGGACAAATGCCTCATAGGTCCCAACATTGCTTCTGCTTTCTTCTCACAAAGTATTAGGTCATTAAAGCAGAATTTGTTGTAATCTCACAGGCAGTGCAATGGAAATGGGCAAGAGCACCATAAAAATATAACCCCTTGTCTTTTTTAGATAAAGGAAAATAATTGTTGCATCCTGTGTGCTTTAGCCTCCACATCTGGTGGCAATTGCCTTGCCCTCAAAACATCTGCTGCCAA